CCAGCTGCTCAGTTAATTGTCAGTGTGCCAAATCCATGCACTGTAATTCTACTGACAGAGCAAAATCAGCTTGTTTGATTAACTGTGATTGTTTCTGGTTTTAACTAGTGGAACTGAATGAATTAAAAGCCTTGAGCTTTCAGCTATTTTTCCCTGAATAATAAGACAAACTTATAAAGCTTAATGACATGACAAACGCTTATCAATGCATAGCCTGTGTTCCCACAGGCAGGCTAAACAAGATCTTCCTCGCTGTTCTGTGAATATAGTTAAGGAGCCAGTCTGCAAACTTCTACTATGCTCATTCTGTGCTTTTCCTCTACAGAATCTAACACCTGACAAAGACATGTCACCTAGAATTTCAAAGTGAAAAGCAGATCTGCCCACAAGTCTTAGCTGCATTTTCACACAACTTACTGAAGATGAAAGTAAGGTCATCTCTTTTAAAAGGATGCATTTTAAAAGGTCTGTCAGCAGTACCAAACTTGCTTGGAATCACAACTACTGAGGTGGTATTAATCAGCTAACCTGCAAGTAAGAATTTTCATAATAAATCACTTACTCTAGGATCAAAAGGTCACATTGTTTAGTGAAGGAAGCTTAACTCACTCAGGATGTCACTGTAAGAACCTACAAACCTTAGTGGCCAGAAACAAGCAATACAGTTTCCACATTGTATTCAAAATACTAATGAAACTGTTACATTCTTTCCTTGTTGTTGTTTTTAATGCACACAATAATACAAATTTTAGATCATCTTCCTTCGTTTCTATTTCCACCCCCACCACATTTCAGGGGTTTGACAGCAGTTCTTTATTGTTGTTGAATGACAGACTACATTCCTACAACAGAGAATCCTACAGAAAGAGCTCCTCAGTCAATTCTGTATATTAACTGAGTGAGTTTTTCCCCTCAGCTAGTAAACAGAAATAGGATTATTCACAAATCTGGTTTCTTAGATAACATGCTTGATAATCTTTATGCAAACCTTCCTTCATCTTCCATTATAGTTCCTCAATTCAACTTATTTTCTGAATTAAATTGAAGGCTTTAACATATTTTTTCAGAATTTACAGAACTGTAAACAAGAATGGTTGTCTTCATTAACTCTTATCATATAACATCAGCAAGAAAACAGCAAAATTTATTTTGGCTGTTCAATTTTGAAACGTTTCCTGATCAACTATTTCACATTAAAAAAAAATGACTTAAGTAAGGAGGATTATGTAATACAGCCCTCTTTGTCAAGTTCTTTCTTGTGCTCTAGAAGATAGTCTCTCCACCTCTCAAAGGAATGAGCTTTTCTTCCTGTTTCCTTGGTGATGGATCAGGAAGTGAATAAATCCTTTCATACACTGTGCTGTGGTCTCTAGTAAATGACAATGCAGGGTGTTTCCAGTTCCAGCTGTTCCTATGAACTTCTCTTTAGAGATGGTTGGCACTAAATGGTACAGGAAAATAGCTTTGGCAGGAGGTCTCTGTGACACAGCACTTACCTAAACTTCCTTTTACTGCAAGATGCATAGCAAATCACTCAGCTTTTGATCTCTGTTTGTCTGCCATTTACAAAGCTCTTTTTTTTCTCTCTCCTCCCTTTCAGTTATTATCTATAGGTTTCAGATTGTACTTTTTTCTTTCCTTTCCTATTTCTTCCTCTTGTCTTTTTTTTTTTCTTTTTTTTCCAGCAGCTCCGAACTGGAAGAATTGTGTTGTCTGACCAGACTGTATAGAGCATGTTATGCTCAAATCTTCACCCCACAAATTCACAGAAGTCCTACAGAGCTAAAATTATTCCCAATTTAACTGATTGTAAATCAAGTATTTTATGTCACTAAGAAGCTGTTTTCAAGTTACTGTGGAAATAATTAAACCTCTTGATATTTATTTAATGACTAAAAGACAATTTCAGATGAGAAATCAGTGTATTTTGTTCTTATTATGCTATTTTGTAGAAGAACTTGTTAAGTCAGGGCACATTACAGGCCCATACTGGAGAGAGCAGAATTATTTAACAAGCAAAAGCTCCCTCTCGTGGCAGGCTGGCAGGAGGCCCCGTCACAGCTGCTGGAAGGAAAACCCACGAGAGCTCACAGCGCACGTGGTCTCGTTCTTCCTCGTCAGCGTATTGCTGCTTTCTCTCCAGAGAATCAGAACAGTACAGACACAAAAAAATTAATTCCTGTCATAGAAGAGACAAGAATTATGAGGAACAAAACAGTAAGGAACTTCACAACCTTAATATAACTGAACTCAATTCTGGAAAGAGCAGCAGCATCCCAAACTGTCACAGTACATAGATTAGTTAAAAAATAGATTTGGAGAAGTGCTATAATTTAATATCAGGCCTTTCCCCTTTTATTAAAGGCTTGCTGGTGAAAGTGATATAGCAATGGGGAAGTTACTCGAGCTATATACTTTGGCTCTATTCAGAAATAATCAATGCCCAATTTAAAAGAACTAATGCTTTTCATTCTGTCTTGTTTTAGGGGGCTTGATTTTTCTACTATAAAAATAATCAGGTTTGGAGTTCAGAAGTTTGTCTGAAGTTATGCAAGATGAACCACAATCATCATTTTTATGCTAGAATGACTGCTTCTCTGATAACTGAGGGAAACAAAGACTTCTAAATCTGAAAAAGAGAAATATTGTTTCCCAAAACCAATTTAATTTTGTATGCACTCTTTTCTTCTTTAGAATAAACAACAACAAAGCCATTGAAAAAGAGTTGCTATTGCCTTACCTTCCCCCTTTAACAAGTCTTTAATATGAAGTCATAAATTAGTAATTGTTCGAGTGAAAGGGGATGCAGACCAACTCACAGATCTTTTTCCCGTGTTTTCCTCAGAGTACAAATGTAACAGATATATAAATAGCTACTTATAGTCTTAAAACTAGAGAGGACCCATAAGGGAATTCTACTATTTCCCTCTGCTGAGTCACACATTGTTCCCAAAGGCTGAGGATTTTGTTGGTAGTTGAGAGAAAGGTAGATCTCATGGTTTCGCATATTGTCCACATTATTAACTTCATGATAGATAAAGCTATTCACATTTTAGCTTGTTATTCAAACATGTTTCAAAATGGCAAAGCTTAGACAGGCATTTGGTGAAGTTCCAGACTTTTGCTTCTGTTGAAATCAACAGTAAAACAGATTAACTTCAACTGGAGCAAGACTAAAGCATTATGAAGTAATTGTTAGAACAAAAACAATGTCACAGAAATGTGTGGATTGTTAAAGTAAAAAAATCTTTATGTGAAAACAGAGTTGTCCTGTAGTGCACAATTTTGAAATAACACTCTTAAATGGGCCAAGAAATACTGTTCTGAGTTGTAATATTGTTTCATTCCAGAAAGCTTCAAATGTGATGATTCTCTGATTTTATCTAAATGTGAAAAACTATTTTGTAGATAAAATTACTCCAAAATAACAAACTCAAGACATTAACATTTTTCTATAAAAAATAAAAAAGGAAATACAAATATTTTAATATAGAAGGGTGAGGCATTACTCTGTTTTGCAGTATTTGCACTCATAGAAGTAACTGCAGTGAAGTATTTCATGTAAACTATTTTATCTGAGATAGAACATAAGCATGTGCATGAAAAATATTTATGAAGAGCTGATATCCCACAGCTTCTTACAGATTCCTTAATGCATTTCCTAAATACTGACTATAAGGCAATGTGTTTAGCAATACTATGATTCTTGACTGTAATAAGGTTAATTATAAACATAAGTTATAAGCACAGAGGAAACAGTCACAAGCCATCATTATGTTGAAAGTCAGTAACAGCTTTTAGGAATGTGTTTATGTTGTTGAAGGACAAGATTCTGGGGAAAGCTGGACTGGCTTCTTTTTAAGACAGCTGCTGATACATTATTGGTAGACTAACTAGCAGGTTTTGTGAATTTAGTTGTTTGGGTTTTTTTTCCCCTGTAGAATAAAAAAGCTATAAATAGCTGTCTTCTGTAGAATGTTTTCATTTTCTATGTATGTTCTAGCCTCAAAATACTGAGCTAGCTATCTCTTTGCTGCCTCCTTTCTTCTAAAGAGAACACACTTGTAGATGCACACTTGTAGAGGCAGCTTATTACCTCAAGAAGCCATATATAACAGGATTTTTGCTAAAGCATTCTTAAGTCTATGTATTTCTTCATGCCTCAATTGCCATTCCCCCTTGCTTCCCCTACCTATGTAAGTACTTCCATTTTCCACGTACCTACCTGCCCACCCACTCTTTCCTTCAAAAACCCTATAATAGCACAACTCTGCCCTGGCAATAAAAAGTCCTCGGTGCACTATTCAAATGCTTTTGCTCAGAAGTCAGGCATTATTTGTCTGCATTTTAACTGCATGTGGGAAAAATTAAACCCTATTTAATTGTTTAGGGATTATATAAGGATGATCCTCAGATGTGTTACCTTTTCTGAATAAACATTAAATGATGTTTTCTCCAGTTATCTACTCCAATGCTCTCTCTCTTGTTCTTACTTCAGCCTTCATACAGTCTGTTCAGTATTATATAGGGTACCAATTCACTCCACTGTTGCTTTCATCAAGTATACTCTACAGTTAGAGGGCCTAACATGTTTTACAATAGTTACAGGAGAAATAAAAGCAGATACAGAGATATTGTAATAGTGTCTTCTTGCTTATCTTATAAGAAAGCATTCTTGTAAATCTTCTTTGAAACAAAGCTGTTTGAAAATTGCCCTCAGTTAAATAGAGGCAAAACACCAAACTAAAAACCAATAATATATTTTTCTTCACAGAAAATGCTTGCATTTATTACAGAAAACAGGACATAATAGGACAGATTGTTCGAAAGACATAATTCAAGAATATGCCAAATTTAGTTACATCCAAATTTTAAGTATGAAGATTTAACACCTGTGAAAATCTTGTATACGTATTACAAAATGTAGCTTTTATCTTAAGAATGTCTTTAACTCTGGTGTGAGAGTTATTGTTAATAAAACTGAAAGATCATATACTTACAGCTCAGATGTTCACTGTGTATTGAATAGCACAGGGATTGTTGCATACTGGGAAAAACAAAACAAAATATTATATAAAAACAGTGAGTACAAGTGTAACTCACATATCAGATAACATAATTAAAAATAACACTACTTGGCAAGGCCAGTTCTCATTATGTTGAGGGCCTTACTCACATCTCAGCTGTTACGTGTAATATCCATCCTAATAGACTGAAGTACTTTTTCCAAAGATAAATCTTATTTAAAACATCTTGCCTAGTCCAATTTCCAGCAACACTGAGATCTCTTACTAGATCAAGAAGAAAGCTGGGACTTGTTCAGGAATTCAAACAATAATAAAGAAACTGTTAAAAGGTTGGCAGTTTTTTTCATCATAGATTATTATGAATTTTTCCCCGAAACTGTTTTTTTATTATTTATTTTTATAAAATATGAATTTGAAATTGCTCAGTTCTCTTGTGAAAAGTCAGCATATACTTGAGATGTTAATCAGTTTTTGCACTATCCACTCTTTGCTCTTCTTTACCAGTTAACAATGTGGTAGTTCTCCCTTGGATATCCTCAATATAGAAAAGGGTTATTTTCCATCCAAAAATTTCTTACCAGTGTTCTCAAGACTTTAATGAATCTCTTTGAAAAGTAATAAGAAAATTATCTAAACAACAACTTTTATTTCAAAATTAATGCTTTGATTCCTTATCCAAACTAATTTTCACAATACCTCTGCTTGCAATTCACATTGATATAAATAATGTATTTGTATCAGATAAGTTCTGCAGTCCATAAAATTCACCCCAAAGCAATTTTAAATAATAATAATAGAACACAAATTCAGCTAAAATATTCTTTTAACATTTTGATGTATTTTCTAACAGCTGTGCTCTGCTACAGTAGCAAGCAAATGGCATACTGCTGACTAGGCTTTGGTGTGAGATTCAGCTAACTGAACAAAATTGGGAGAACTAAAGGACATAAGATTAAAAAAAAAAATGACTAGAAACTACAAATAATAGTATGAGCTCCTGTCCAAAGTCCAGGTCACACTCTGAGGGTGGCTGGATTCCAGAAGTGGTTTAGTGGGAGGTACAGGATATTATTGGAAGGGACTACAAGTACCTTTTAGGGATTAAATCATATAAGGCCAATGACACCTAGTAACCATATCAGTAAAATGACATAAGGCTCAGCTTATCCAAGTAACTGTATCTAAGTAACCCAAATCTGGGTATGGAGGTAGCAAAATTGGACCAATGGGAATAATTAATTAGGGGTGGATTGTTTATTTTGGAGGAGTTGAGGATGGAAAAACAGGCGCAAGGGAAGCAAAAATGAGGGCTAGGAAAGTAGAAAAGGAATGAGGTATACAAATCATATTACTGATGCTGCCTGGGTACCTGCCACGCAGCCCTGAGTTTTATCACCATATCTGGGACAGGACAGCAGACAAGACCTCTTGTTCTGACCACATGGTAAGACTCAAACCTGCTTCTCTGGTCAGAAGAATTGGAGCAGGGACAGGCTCCTCTTAACCAGCAAGAGCTGGAGCAACAATTCTGTTACCACTGCAACTGGTTGCATGGGCAGCTGCCCACCACTTCCTAACATGCTCTTCAGTTACTGGATCTTAGAAAGAACATTATTTGGAAGTTTCAGCTTATGTTCTTGAATGGCTTTTTTTTTCTTTTTTTTTTTTCCACAGTGGAAAAATTGTATAAATCAGACAATGTGCATAATAAACCAACTGCCTAATCTGATCAAATTTGAAATAAAAAAATATTTAAAGAAAAGGCCAGGTAGGCTCCATAGTTTTTAGTGTATGACTGCATTATTCTTTAGGAGTATTTAAACAGAACCCATTACTATTATTATTTAAATTTGACTGTATAGTAGTAGTTTTTTAGTAGAAGTCAATAATGACTACTTACACACTCAAGTGACTAGGAAGAAAGACAGAAAGACCATGTTAAACACATAAGATAACTTGATAAATTGTTGGGGAAGGGGTGATATTTTTCTTTAACATTAAGGTAAGGCTGATCTCTCTCTCTCTGATTCTCCAGTGACAAACATAAACAATTCCTATTTGATTTCTAAAGAAGCATAACAAAATGCTTCAACCAAAAGAAAAGAAATTCAACTTGTTCCGTATAAAGAATGCATAAGGACCTGAAACACAAACCAAGTGTGAATGATCCCTTTTAGAGCCTGTCTAAAGCCAGATCAATACCTTGCAGAGCTGAGAACTGTGCAGTCTATTTAAAGCAAAACCTCATACAGCAACTGCTGCAGTTTTAACATTCCGTCTCTTCATCACATTGTATGAATTTACCTAACCTTAGAAACTATATGAATAAGCTAAGTGGAGGAGAGGAATGATAAAGAAATTGAAACAAACAAACAAAAAAGAACCATACAAAAGAAAACAAAGACAATATACAAGTGCTAGCAAAAAGAAGTGAGGGACATTTTAGCTATGTGCCTAACAAGTTCTGTCAGTGCAACTCATGAACAGTTGGTAGAAGCATAGCACCTGCTGGGTTGAGCTAAGTTAGCTCTTCTGATCTCCAGCTGCTGACATTTCGCTTTGTTTTTAAATGCAAAGACACAAATGCATATTACTCTCGGTATTTTAAATACTGTTGGTACCAGTCATACTGATTCTGTTTAGCTTCAGATCTGCAGAGCAAAGTGCTTCCCTACACCCTCATAACTTTCCTTCCTACCTGACTGCCCACTAATAAGAAAATGCCATATGGCAAAAAAAGTAATTTCTAGAAGCGTATAAATCAGTGAGCGCAATGCAAAATCACCAGGGCAGGTATGCATGCCAGACAGTTTGTATAGTAGCTGACAAGTCTAAATGCAGCCTTGCCAAAATAAAAGATGAATTCAAGTAGTGCAAGACACAGGTAAGCTGAACATTGAAGCCTTACTAGTGTCAGATGCATATGTTAAACCATAGAGTTACTGAAGGCTGTGCAGACAGCCTCTAAAAATACTGAAGAAGTTTATCTTTCCTGATGAGTTTTTTTTGTTCTTTCTTTCTGCATGTCTCTGAGCCAGATAATTGCAGTCCATGCGCTGGTTGTCCCAGTAGCTGTTTTCTGCCCTGACACTGCTTTTCTCCCTCCAGTACTAATGTCCATTTCCCTTTGAAGTCCTTGACTGCCACACCTACAATACCACAGCAAGTATTACCATGATACTAAGCCAGATTATGCCAGGCTTTGTAAACACGGTGATGGAATTCAGGGCTCAGTAAATATCAGCCTAATGAGCAGAGAAACCACCAGCAGATGGCTCTTCCCAACGCAGCCACTGCAGTCACAAGCTGAGGTGAAGAGATGAAGTCGCTCTCCAAATGATGAGGAAAGAAGCCTTCAAGTGTTACAATCTGCTCCCCTCAGGCGAAAGGCCTATTCAAATTTCTGCACCTTAAATACATGAATCATTTCAAAGTACCCTTTCTGCACTTTCACACGGGCCAAGTCTCTGATCTGCTCCTGGCAGACTTTCCTCAGGGCCCAGCACTGCTCACCTCATCCCAGACACGCTCCAGGCGCGGCTGCTTGGCTGCAAAGGGCTCTGTGGAGAACTGGCCCCGTCCTGCTCCACTTCCCTCTGCCAGCACCTGCCCCAGGTTCCAGAGCCTTCCAGCAGTCGCTGCCTGAAGAGGGGCTGATGACCTGGAGTACAGTGTGAGGAAAGGCTGGAGAAGCCACACTCCTGACCATGTTTGAGGGCCAAGGCTCCAATGAGGCACAAGCAGGATTTTTATTTGCCATCTGAAAGCGGTGCCTTGCTGTCGCTCCAGCACAACTCACTTCTCCGCACCACTTCAGGCCTAGCATAGCAACTAGTGCTTTTTTAAGATCCCACAAGCAGAGCAAAACACGAAAAACACAGAGCAGATGGGTACCCGTGTTATTTATAACCGCCGAAGCCTCAGTAATACACCCTGCAGAAAAATCGGTTGGTGTTTGAGGTCTGACAGCACGAGGTGCCCTCAGAGACACGCTTTAGCAGCAAGGCGCAGTCACCTGCGGAGAGGCGGGCGCACAGGCACCGCAACGTCGGGTTTCGAAGCGACACGGGAACGCTGAAGTCGCAGCTTCCACACGGACGCCCCAGAGCGCCGCTCGCCCCTCGCAGCCCCTTCCCGCCCACAGCGGCGCGAGCTGCCCGCGCACAGCGCCCCCCGCAGCCCCGCGCGGGAACTGGGTCAGGCGCCCGAAGTGGGCCGAGGGGGCGGGGCCGCCGAAGGGCGCAGGGGGGCGGGCTTCTCCCGCGTCGCGGCGCGGTGACGTAGGGGCGTCTGCGCGTGACGTCGCAGCGGCGTTCGTCCTGCTCCCGGTCTCGCCCTCGCCGCCCCTCGGCCCTCTCCGGCCCGCGCCTGCCGCCCGCTGCCGCCATGGCGAACGTGGCCGACACGAAGCTGTACGATATCCTGGGCGTGCCGCCCGGAGCCTCCGACAACGAGCTCAAGAAGGTGCGGCGGAGGAGCGGCGGCCGGCGCCCGGGGACGGCGGGCGGCAGCGCTGCGGGGCGGGGGCGGGCCGGGCGGCGGGCGAGGGCCGGCGGGAGGCGAGCGGGCCGGGCCGGGCCGGGGGCAGGCCGCAGGATGGGGCGGTTGGGGGCGGGGAGGCACGGCCCGCAGGCGGCGGGGCCGCGCCGGGTGTCGCCGCGAGGCCTGAGCCTGCGTGCGGGCAGGGAGAGGCGCCCGGTATCGCCTCGGTCGGCGGGAGCGCGCGGGCCGCGCCGAGGGGCCGTCGGAGCCTCGCCTGCGGGCGGGCGGCAGCGGAGCCGGGCGGGCCTCGGGCGGCGGGGAAGGGCGGGAGCGCCGGGGAGCCGGGCCCTGCCGTGCGTCCCGGCGGTCTGAGATCCCCGCGATGGCCGTGGGCGGCCTCCGCCTCCGCCGCCCTGCGCGTCCGACGGGCGGGGGCTCCTCGGGAGGGGAGCGGCGTGAAGCAGAGCGGGGCTGCGGCCGCCCCATTGTCTGCCGCACGTGTGGGCCCGGCGGGGTTTCGGTTTGCTCGAGTTCGGTCCGGGCCGGGGGCACCGAAGCGAGGTAATAAAGAGGCGAGGAGAAAACTTGGAGCCGGGTCATCGGTATAACGGCGTACCGCAGGCATTTCAGTACGTGGCTTACGGACCGCTTTTTTGTTTTTCCCCAAAAAAGAAATTTACCCCCGTTTATACGGGAGGGAGGAAAATTAACAAGCAAGTTTACTAGCAGTGACCTGCTTCCGCTGATGGGTGGTGCTGCCACAAACAACCGCGTTACCCAGCATGCACGCGGTAGCTTGATTTGTGCAGGGATAGGCAGTGGCAGTGTTGAAATAGTGCTAGTGAAAGGTGGTAGGAGGCTGGCAAACACCGTCAGGCACTATTTTTTCCTTACCAGAGTCTCTTAAAGGTGTTTTCTCTCCCATACGACTGAAGAACTTCCAGCACTCTTTTACTCTATGACCTCTGCTGTTCTGAATTCATTGCTATATGTTGCACTTGTCATGGAATGTTCCAACTGCCTTGTAGCACTCAGTTTGTCCCTCTTATTCTCACTGAGAGGCCATGTGGATGTTGCGTTAATCTGATATTTTAATATCAGATATGAAAGCAGAGAAAAGCAAAAAGAAATGGATGATGTCTTTACCAAGAATCAGGAGGAAAACAGCCTTTAACAATGATTAGTTAAACTAATCTATATGAAATCTATGGTAGTGTCCATGTAGCCTTGATTCGGGATCTGTTTCTCATTAATTAAAAAGAGGTTGCTTGCTCTGGGGCCATGAGTGATATTAAGGATTGCTCTAAACTGCTTTGCTGCTACAAGCGAAGACATGAGCTCTTCCCTTTACCAGTCACTACACAAAATCCTTTTTAGCTGATACGATGATATGTAGATTTTCAGTTTAATTTTTCCATGATTTTAATGCTTAAAATATAAGGAAAAAATGTTTTTATTACAGTTCAAGTTTGTGAACGATTAAGCCTTGTTATTGATGGGTAATTTGTACTGTGAGACCTATGACTTTTGCTCTTTACTCTTAACGTATTGTAGAACATTTTGCTTCTGATATTGATGTTCTGCTTTGTCTTATTAACTTTTTAAAGCACAGAATACTTCAAGATAATCAGTAAAGACAGGTCACTTAAGATAAAGAAAATGAATTTTACCAAACATAAAGCTCTTCTACAGCTGTAGTTCCAAAGAGAAATTTTAAATGCTCAGCTCTATTCAAATGTCATTTCGAGTCATTTCTGTTAACATTCATGGGACAGATATTGGGAAAGTTGAGGTGGAGTCAGGAAGAAGATGTGGTCAAATACCCAGATTGTAGAAGAAGGCTTGTTACTTGCTTTGATCCTCTAATCTAGGAACAGAGTGATGGAGTACTGCTATAGAAAAGGTCATGGTCTTAAGAACTGAAGCACTGATCAAAAAAGCATATTTCAACATCTTTGCAGCCATTCTGTCTGCTGTTTTTAACAGTTAAGTAGAGGTGGTGTACGTTCTGCACAGGTAACTCATACTTAATTCATTGTGAGATTGAATGTTTCATTATTGGTAAGTAAGGAAAAAAAATTAAATGATTTTTCTTGGATTAGTGACTGATAGATGAAAAGGTGAGGCAGCCATTTTGTTGTTAATGTCTTGCTGTGATTGAGGAGACATAGTAAAATTATATACCCCATTGATACATGATTGATTTCAAAACATTTGTTTTCTCACTTTATTAGGCTTTTCTTTCTTCTTGGAAGATAAGTTGAGTTTCTCAAAAAAGTACAGATGACTCAAAATTAGAACTAATTTTGTATCTCTTTCAACTAGGCTTATAGAAAACTAGCCAAGGAGTACCATCCTGATAAGAATCCAAATGCAGGTGACAAAGTAAGACTTGTTTTTATATTGTTTTTTTTTTCATTTAAACTCCTGAAGTTTGCTGTTTCAATAGCATCTAAGGGTCTGAAAGAAGTGTTGGGGGCTTGGTGTTGCAGGTGGTTCAAAAACAGTAAGAACTATCAGAGGGAACAATGCCTTCTCTATTTCTTCTCAATCTCAGAGCATACTTCTTGACAGAATGCAGCAGTTAAATCAAATTAGTTGAGAAGGCAGTGCTAAAAGAGTTGCCTCTTCATCTGCCAGTGTCAGCTGACACTGACATCTAGCTACATATGTATTTGAAAATGATGGATAATCTGGGCCCATATTTCTTGGAAAGTAAAGTATGTGAACATGTGGAAGAAAGTATTTGTGGAGGGACTTGAAATTACAGCATAAAACACATATGAGAAATTTGGATCAGATGTATTAATAGCAATTAAAAAAATGTTAATTAAGTTTACTCAGTTGATTATCCTTATCAGAAGTTCTCATGATTGCTTAGAAGTGAACAGGGATGACACGTGAAGATAACCTTTGTTTTGTGGACTGACATGTTAAAATGCATTTTAAAATAGGAGAACAATTGAACAACTTCTAAAGTGCCTGACAAGTCTGACAGTCTATATCATGTGTGTAACTTGTTTTTGCCTGTTGACTACTGCAATATTGTGTGTTTTTTTTACTTGTTAGTAAGATTTGTCTTGTGCTAGGCCCAAAAAGCAAGTCAGTGGATACCTGCAATAAAATGTCATATTTGGTAAGGCAAGATGTAACACAGTGATGCCCGAATCTGCTTTCCTGTCTTACTAGAATGAAGGTGGGAAAGGTTTATGTTGTGTACCATCCTCATCAGGTGTTCATGCTGGACAGGGAACTGTAGTAAAATTCTCCCTTAGTTAAAGATTATTGTGCACTGATGTGATTCTTTCCTTCTTCTAGTTCAAAGAAATAAGCTTTGCCTATGAAGTATTGTCAAATCCAGAGAAACGTGAGTTATATGATAGATATGGAGAACAGGGCCTTCGAGAAGGTAGTGGTGGAAGCAGTGGAATGGACGATATTTTCTCCCACATCTTTGGTGGTGGATTGTTCAACTTCATGGGTGGTCAGAGTAGAAGTCGTAATGGTAGAAGAAGAGGAGAAGATATGATGCATCCTCTCAAGTAAGTATCTTAATGCTGAAATTAATATTAATTTTCAACTTATCTGTACTCTTCTCTGCTGCTAGTTTATATTTTTGTTGTGCTCCCCAGGTGCATAACACTCCCAATTATGCAGTCTGCAACTCCTTCTCAGACTTCTGTGTCATGTATAGTTCAGAAGGCAGTTAGCTTGTTTTCAATAAATGGTTGATCATGTAGGTTATCCGATACTTTGATTTGTCTCAATACTAGCCTGTAAATAAGGCTTAGTTAATGTTATTTTCTTGGTGTTGCTTCTCACTTATGTTTGGAAGTTCTAATCTGAAATTGCATTAAATAAACAAGTATTGTGTAATAGGTGAACTCTTAGGTATTAATGCTCCTGAAAGATTTTAGCTAACTTGCATTCATAGCTTACCATGTGGAAGTATAAAGTATGTAGTTAATGGGAAATTCTTAAAAAAAAAAAAAAAAAAAAAACAACCTCCAAAAACAAAACTGAACAACATGCTCAAATAGCGCATCTCTTCACTTGCAGTTATGACTGGCTTTTTGCCTGTTAGGCAGCTCTGTTCAAACTTCCTTAGGGCTGCATCTTTTCTATGGTTGGCATAGTCTGGTTACTTCTTCTTGCTTGCTTAGTTTAGCAGCTAGTACTGAATACTGTGTTACTAATTTGCTTTAGTTTTGTTTTTATTTGTAAATGCTAATGCGAGGTAACCTTTTCTAGTTTAATGTACTTCAACTTGAAACTTCTGTCCAATAACATGAACTTGGAGAAACACTGTTCATAAGCTTCTCTCACTTTACAGAGGTTATTAGAATTTGCTCATATATTCAAGGGCATCTAAAAATGAGCAAATGTAAAGAACTGTATAGCCTTGGGGACTTATTAGTGTTCTTTCTGCCTCCTCTCCCCCAATGTCTTGTGTTTTCCGGGGGAAAGTACAGTACAGTAATAAGTATATCTTCTTGTGTATGTATGCTATAAATACCTCCAAGATGATCTAGAGAGAGGAGGGCTTCTCATTTGCTTGGTAGAACCTCTTTGAAAAAGAAAACTAAAAGATCAAATGTGACTGTGTAATGAAATATAATGTGCTATGTTAACTTGCTTCCTATGGAGAAACCCAACTAATCAATTACATCATAGCTTTTCTCTTAAGTGATGTTCAGGGCTGTACCTCTATTCAAATGCATAGAACAGTTTGTAATGATTCCTTGTAAAAACCACAGTGGTGCGTTTAAAAAAATCTTGTTTTAGCTGCAGGTTTAGTCATTATGAAGAACTGTTTTTCTATTACTTGTCCTAGGCAGATATTTGAATTATGTGGAGAAAGTATATTGTTAAAATAACACAAGAGAAAATGCTTTATTTTGCAGAGTCTCTTTAGAAGATTTATATAATGGAAAGACAACTAAACTACAACTTAGCAAGAATGTCCTTTGTAGTGCATGTAATGGGTAAGTTTGGTTCTGCTTCTGAATTCTCTGCTTGCTTTGTTGACATGATATAATGAAGCATCTTCTATGTCAGATCTTCATCAGTATTTAACTTACTGGAGTCTGCTCTCAGACTCAAAATAGCTTATTTGTAATTTCATGGGATTTGAAGTACTTGGGGGAGTGTGTGTGTGTGTGTGTGTGTGTGTGTGTGTGTTTGCCAGCAGGGACACCTGACTCATTGGCAGTGCAATCAGCCATGTTAACCTACTGCTGTAAATATTGTCAAACATTTCTGAAAGGCTTGGTTTTAATGCAACTGGTGCTTTCTATTCTAGTCAAGGAGGGAAGGCTGGAGCTGTTCAGAAATGTAATGCTTGTCGGGGTAGAGGTGTACGTATCATGATCAGACAGCTGGCTCCTGGAATGGTTCAGCAGATGCAGTCTGTGTGCTCTGACTGCAATGGAGAAGGTAGGCTGGCTCTTTCGTATTCCTCATTGCAATTATAAATATGTAATAAAAATATGTAAATATCTTGTGTGTTTGGAAGAACTGCTGCATAGCTCCTCTCATATAGTGAATTGCATCTCATCTAGGAGAGCTTTTCTCCTATGTTGTCATGTTGTCAGTTAGGTGTCTGGACCCAGTGTGGAGAAGTCATTTTACTTAGAGCAGCAGCAAAGCTTAATGTCTGGAATGCTGGAAGATGACCTGGAAGCTTGAACAATAGGGATTAATTGTTTTAATTTGTGTTACTTGGTGGTGGTGGTTTTGTTTTTTAAAGACTTAAATATGAATTTTACTTGTTGCTATTACTCTTCCATTAAAGAGACCAATATATGGGGGGTGAAAGGGGATTAGAAGTTTTTGTTTTTTGCAGTCTTAGTCTCTAAGGACGGGTTTAGGTTAAAACTAAAAACCTAAAGTTGGACTTAAAAAAAAAAAAAAAAACAACCCGTTGTTTGGTCATCACATGATATGTACTATGTGTGAATGCTTTCTGAATCTTCTGCAATTTGCAGAGTAGTAATGCCGCCTTGTAGATAGCTTTGCTCTTGACAATACCTGAGTATTTCATTGAAATATTTTACAAATGATGTTTCTGAACATCTTGTTTCACAATTCGAATATATAGTTTCAGCTGGGTAGGACAAAGAAGTTAAGCTGTTTTTTGTATTTATCCTTCAGTTTGCTGGAAAAAATACTTGTGTTGCTGGAGGTGACAAACAGTATGAAAAACTATTTACTGTCAGAATAGTATAGGAATGGAATCTTATGTGCCAGGCCATTTTAGATAATTTCTGTGGGACAGTATGTATTGCTCTTGTATGAAGCAGATTTCCCCAGCTGTCTTGGTATGTGAGACTCTCTAGTTTTACTGACTGCATTTATGTAATACTGAAGGGTTGCGGTAAAATACTGCAAAATGGGGCTGTTAGCAACTTTCACTGTTGTTAACAGAATGGAGCTAAGCTTCCAAAATTCAGTGAAGTAGTTTGAAATTGGTATTGTGACTGTTAAGGAAGAGTAGATGCTTCCGTTTTGTTTTAGGTTTACTCTTCCTTTATAGTTGTTATCCTGCAACATAATGAAGAATTTAAAAGTAGCTTGTTTTATTTTAAAGAGAAGTTGAATGGTAAGGATACTGGAGTTGAGTTTGGGCCTAAGGAACAATGGAAGCTGCAAACTTCATCTTTTGTTTTGTCTTCTGTGTCCAAAATCTTTTGAAGATTCTTGATGAGATCGCTTGGAAGCTTATATATATCTTTGTATTTCCTTTTTGTTCCTTCTTCCCATTTTCCCAAGTACAATAAGTAGAGCCTGGTTTTCTCCTTGTGATGGGTATGTAAAGCAACATCTAAATAACTAGTTCTGTTGCATATGTTATTCAAATTACTTTAAAATAGCTTTCTTTCCCTTTCAGAATTGTGTACAGTTGTGTTAATCTCTGAACTTGAAACTTGTGTCTTTAGGTGAAGTAATTAATGAAAAAGACCGCTGTAAAAAATGTGAAGGGAAAAAGGTGATCAAAGAGGTAAAAATACTTGAAGTCCATGTAGACAAAGGCATGAAACATGGACAAAGAATTACATTCAGTGGAGAAGCAGATCAGGCTCCAGGTGTGGAACCAGGTGATATTGTCCTGTTACTCCAAGAAAAGGAGAATGAGGTAATACCTTTGAGTTGATATTTAAAATGCAATTTGATGCAGTCTTTTAATATTTAAGTGATGTAGATGGCTGCTTGCTTTGAAGTAATTCATGTAGTTGCACGTCTGGGGGAGATGATGAATAGCTTTTAGTAATTCTATAGCAAGTAATACGGCTTTATTTGTGAGCCTTTATTTGCAAGTAAGGACTAGAGGACGTGGATTTTGGTGCTTTCTCATACTAGTGAACATTAACCTTCTCAAGTAAGCTCACAATGACTTTGCTAGATTTAGTCACTGTGAAGAGCTGTTCAAGACATTAACTTCAATCTACATTGCTTGTGGCACTAACAGTGCCAAGTGTTGATTTTAGTAATGTCTTGTGACATGACAGGAAACTCCTACTAGACTGCAGAGATGGTGCTTTCTGTGTCCGTTACTGTTGGGCTCTGGAAATTTAACACAGAGTACTGATATTATAACTAGGTCGTTTAACACAACACTAAGAAACAAGATTGCTTTATACTAGCTTGGTTCATGATTATTGTATTCTAGTGTGTACACATTGCACTTCTGAGTTAAACATTGCAAATGACCTTTTTCTGTCCTAGACCTCTGTTAAGGGAAAGTTGGGATGACTTTTTTAAAAAATGTTTTATTTGAAAAAGCCCAGTTATTACTATAAAGGGATAAGATAAACTTTCTGTGATTTATTCTGAAGGAGGAAACTATTTATGGAATTAAAAAAAAGCATTCTGTTGCCTCAAAGAACTGAGTTAGGTACAGATTTCTAAGTTATTATCAGCTTTAATTATCTGAAAGTTTGTAAGCTTTTCAGTGCTGTGGACAGTGCTGTGTATCGAGGTTTATGTATAGCCTTGTGCATTCTTCTACTATAATACTGGATGAAACACAGCATCACAGTTATTTGGTTCTTCCTTTTTGGTAAGGGAGAACACTGTACACATACAAAACAGATGTGCATAAAACCATGAAAATTTATATGGTAGATTCCATTTCTATGTTAGTCTTCTAATGAACTGTATTTGGTTTTACAGCATTAACTATTGTGAAAAATACTGAAACCTTGTGTCCTAGTGAGTAGAACTAGACTGATATTCAATCAAGCTTTTTGTGTTTGTAAAATCTCCCCTGAGGTGGGAAAGGAGGTGGAGGAAGTAATGCCTTTGGCAGCGTACCAGTGGACAAATTCATGTGTATTCCCATTAAAAATCCAAAGTGGTGTGGCTTAAAGATCTCTCGAGATAGCTGTGGGCTAATAGATCAAAACCCTGCTCCATTGGTAGCTAGCTGATGGAGATATGAGCAACTACAGTAAATGTTAAGAAACAAAAATGTGATTATTTTTTTTGTACCATGGTGTAGGGGAAGCAGTGTCAAATAGGCTATAAACAAAAAATTCAGGACTAATTTTTGTAAAAGGTCTTGGGGTAAAGGAGCACTACTGATTTACAAGCTACCTTTTTATCTAATTTGAACTTTTTGTCCTGGGATGTAGTGAGGTGTGTGTTACCTTGTTTGTAAGGAGCAAACTTCCAAAGTGTGTTAAGTCTTGAAGTTTTAGGAGCAATAATAAGCTCTAAATAATTAGTCTTGTGAGGATATGATTGTAGTGCTAGAAAAGATACCTCCTGTTTCTGTTTTTCAGGTGTTCCAAAGGGATGGGAATGATTTGCATATGACGCACAAGATAGGACTTGTTGAAGCACTGTGTGGATTCCAGTTCACATTTAAGCACCTCGATGGGCGTCAAATTGTGGTTAAATATCCTCCTGGAAAAGTAATTGAACCAGGTAAGTGTGAGTGATAAGGACTCGTTTGACTGTGCTTTTGTTATTCTTGAGCATCTAATTCCGTTCTTGTTTTGATTTTACCTGAACCCAGACTAGAGAATTGGGTAGGGCAGGGCTTTTTCTAAAGTAGCATTCTACAGATTTATTTCGTATCATTACAGGTTGTGTCCGTGTAGTCAGAGGTGAAGGAATGCCACAGTATCGTAATCCTTTTGAGAAGGGGGATCTTTACATTAAATTTGACGTTCAGTTTCCTGAAAATAACTGGATTAGCCCAGAGAAGCTTTCAGTAAGTAGTCTTTCAAGCATAAATTTGGTAGTCTTACTGGACAGTGTATGCAAGGTGCTTGTGTGTTAGCCTCCTGTGCTTGCTTTGTAATCTGTAAATGTTAACAAATTGTTCTATTAATACTGTTCATAGGCAGCGAATAACTTGAAAATATGAATTGAGATCTAGGTTTCTGGAACCTGTTTTTAAAAGCTGTGTTGATTTTTGGGTAGATGAGATCTACCCAAGATCTCATCTAGATCTTGTAATAAGTCTTGAGAGTGCAACTGTATTTACTGATTGGACATTGGTTGATAATGTGTGGAGCTTTTTCCTTTTTTAATTTGTCTTCCAGTTATTTCAGATACTTTGGTTACTCTTAAATGAGTTATACACTTCAGGGCTTACACTAGTTTAGGCTTCCAAACCAAACGTGCTCCAAGGAGTCTTGATGCTGTGGGGAAATCATCACTTTATTTAGAAGTTGGAGATGCGGTACTGAATGCACTTCTTTTTTTGGGGCAGGAACTTGAAGATCTTCTGCCTGCTAGACCAGAATTTCCTAATGTAATTGGTGATGCAGAAGAGGTAGATCTTCAGGAATTTGATACCACTCGTGGTTCAGGTGGTGGCCAGAGACGTGAAGCTTATAATGATAGTTCTGATGAAGAAAGCAGCCATCATGGACCTGGGGTACAGTGTGCCCATCAGTAAACATTTGTCTAAAAAGTTGCACAAGGATTTTCTTTCAAATTTTGCCTGACTTGTTTTCAACAATCCAACTGGATTGTATAAGTAATCCAGATGAACCAATGGACATCTATTGCTGTATGTGTAACTTTTAAATTGGTCTATAGTATCTACAGAGTGTAATTTAAACTAACCACAAAGCTTACATCTTCATTTTGACTGTGTAGCAGAATAAAGCACTTGAAAGGAAGACGAGACTCCTTTTCACATGGGTTTTAAGTTTGTCCTCGTATCTGTGCTTGATTTTTACCAGTTTTGTGTAGATTTTAAGTTTCATATTTTAAATTCAAATTCTCCATTGTAAAGTTTGTGTACAATTTGTCCTGAGGCTTGGTATTTGGCTGCACCTGCATAAGCTGCTACAAGTAGAATAAAGAATTTCATAGCCTGTATCTGTCATCTAGATGCATGGTAAATGGGCTTTGCACATAATGGGTTTAGAGCTGACTGGGAACAATGGAAGACTAAATTAGAAGTGGTTGTAAGTTTTTTCTACCATCTTGTGAACGGTTTCTGAAATAAATAAAAGCAGTTGGTGTATAATATATTTCTTTTTGCCTTGTAGCTTTTACTTTTGCAGTGGTTCTGACCATGTTGTGTACCAACTGACTATAGAGAGGTAGACACTTGAAAACACAGAGAGGCTGAAGCTGCTTTAAGACCAGCTTGCAGTTTAAGAACTGTATGTATAAATATTTTCTTGAGCAGTGATACAACTATTTGGGTAGGGGAAGGCCACAGCCATGTCCCCTTTCTATAGAGAAAGTACAGAGGTTTCAGACTGCCATTAAGAAGTTACAAACATCTTAAATGAAGATGATTAAATCCCATGCTAAATTAAATCATGTCTTAAAAAAAAAAAACCATCTGGCAACTTGTAATTGCATTAACATAGTTTGTAAAGAGATGGAGATTAGTGTTGTACTTGACAAATATTTTTTACTTCAAAACATACTACATGTTGTCAATTTTATTAGTTTATCAGAAGTTTGAATTTTTTCTAACTATTGATGTTTAGTTTTCCCAGTTTCAGTCCTATTCCTTTTTGTATGCATTTAATTGGTTTTTAAAAAAAAATGAGACCTTAAATAATTATCAGGTACAGCTATCTTATTTTGTTTACAGTGTAAGAGAACTGTGTGTGAGTTGCTGTTCACCACTTCGTTATAGTGTAGTTCCTCTTCCCCACTGAGTAGAAGTTGAAATACACTCTTAATTTTCTTTACAAATTTCAAGTGTGACTTTAAAACCTTGTCAGGTAATTGTTGAATTCTTAGCAGAGTGAGATGGGAGAGAGGTGCTCCAAAGCTTTCCGTGTACTTGGGTAGCTGATGACATAAAAGCATTGTGAAATGTGGATTTTAAACTGAAGCAAGAATAAACACTGTTTGGCTGCTACTTCAGTATTGATTTATACCACTGCAAGTCATCTACTGAAGCTTTGTTTTCACTTAAACTTCAGGTTTTGGCTTTGCATGAAATCACATTGTGATCCTTCTTATGTGTTTCACCAAGAAGTTCATCATCTTAAGCTGTAGTGTTTAATAATTAATGTACTTGTCTAATGCTTTCAAGTTCTGGTCTCCAGATTTACCTCTAAACAAGTGGAGTATGTACCCTAAATTTTTTAGTGGAGTGGGGATGGAAAGTAAGAGGAGGAACTCACTGTAACTTCTTAGCATATTGAAGTGAAGGGGGGGAAGATGCAGATTTGATCATTATATGTAGTATGGATTATTATTCATTTATTTAATTCAGGCTCCTGAAGTAGAATCTGACCATATTTCCGGAATTACCTTTATTCTACATATCTCCTCTTTCTGGAGTTTTAGCATGGTAAAAGTCATACATGAATTTAAAACCTATATGGCCTTGACTTCAGTACTAATCTTGGATGTAATATAATACCACAGTGAGTAGTTTTGTTTAGTTTGGCAATAAACTATTGCTTTACTGCAGCTACTGCCACTTTAAATAGGGCAATGTGCTTGTCCTGTGTGAAAGAAACATTAGTTGCATGTTCTTTGTAATTGTTCTTCGTAATAAATGGTGCATTGTGATATGTAGGTCAGAGGTAGTACTACAGAGTAATTGAGTCTTCGGTGTGTTTCATACCTTGGGATAAATGTATCAGTTGATTAAGAAGGCCTGCATCACTGAAGAAATGCGCGGCTTGTGAGTTTGGCCAATCCAGTGTGAGGGCCCAGAAACACTTTCCCAGCTGTTAATAGGCTTTCTTTCACACACAGGCAAAAAGTCTAAGTTAAAATTCATGAGATACTTCAACTAGAGCAGGCCTGATTAAACAAGAGGATCTAATTCTGCAATAGATACCACTACCTTGCATTGTACTGGTTTTCAAAGCTATATTCAACGCTATGCTTTTTATGGAAATTGCAGAATACTGTCATCAAACATTCAGGTTTCAGTGCTACCTTGCAGTGGTATATGCATTAGTGCAGTATACGAGGGAACAGTTAAATCATTCATCTTGAAATACCAGCTTGTCTTCAGGAATCAACAATGGTAACAAGCTGATGTGATGCTCTCACCAATTTAGGTTAATTCAGATAGACTTGTTGTAATTGGGCAGTATAATACTGACTTTTAAATGTAAAATGTTTCATAGAATTCTTAATACTATTATTAGAAAGAAAAGATATCTATTTTCTGATTATCAAGTGAAAATAAGATTATTCTTAAGTTAAGCCTAACTTCATGTTCTTGACCAGTTTTGACTTCCTTGTCCTAGGAAGTGCTTTTTTTTTTCCTTAGTTGAAACTTGTGACCCTTATTTTACTTTTTTTTTTTTTTAGAAATTTGCAGAGACAGAAGAAAAACTGTTAGAAGCTAAAATTGCTTAAAATATGCTTAAAGTTTTGAAAGTGCAAATCTTCCCTGCTGTTGTATCACAGTGAAAACACTGAAATCACTCCTAGCAGACTAAAAGCCAGGAGTATCCTGAAGTTAAAGAAAAGCTTAAGCAATGGTGGTCATCTTTTACTTGAAAAAGTTGTCAAAAGCCTTTGCTACCAGAGAAAATTTGAGTTATTACCCTATCTTGCAAGTTATATCACAACATAAGACTGGAAATAATTTAGTTTATTTCTGTGTTAGATTTATATCTGTGTTACCAGAAAACTGAAGCTGCATATCTTCTGCTGAAGAACTTAAAAACTTGCATTTCAGCTTAAGGCCTAAGTAAAATCTCTAGGCAGCCACTGAGGAATACAAAACAGGAGTAGTAACAGCAAACCAATAGCTAAACAGTAATTCTTCCATGCATGACAGAGACAATGTAAACTGTAATATTAAGTAGATTCCTACTTCTAGTTGTGTAGAAATACCAGTTAGACATTGAATCTTGTTTGCTACTAAATCTTGTTTGCTACATCAAGGTATTATTTTTCCTTTTACTGTGAACTTAACTAAAATGCCAGCTAATGGCTTGTACAAAGGTGGAAAAGTAAAATTGCTTCCTTTTGCATCTGTGTCCTTTATGGAAACAAGGAAAATTCAATACATAGATCACATTGTATGCTTTTATGTAAAAATATTTATTCAGCAGTACACAGCTTTATTAAGACATTGTAGATATTCTGAACACTTTAGAGGAGGCAAGTAAGAGCAGTGGTAAATATTCTGTCATCACAAGGCAGTTCCATTAACTTGACTTAGCGGTAGCCTTTCCACATAATACAGTCAGCTCACTCTAAGGATGAAGAGAATTCACTTTAGTTCAAGCTAACAAGCAAAGCTTAAAAGAAATGAAAAAAATTAGGTGCTGTAGATGTAATAAGTAAATCCCTGCTCTCTGCTTACAGAGGCAGATATGCTGTTAAAAAATTTGACTTCCACACTTTTATCTTAACTTATTCCAGCTACATTCAATTACTTCCACCTGCAAAACATCTGATTAATATCACTGATTGTCTAGATGGATACCTATTGCTCCACATTAATTCATCCAGAAGCTAGACTAGAAATGTCAGGCAGTGTGTGCTACAAAGTTCTGTTCAGCTTTATTCTTCTTCAAAACAATTCATGTCCTTGAGCCAGAAGTAAGGTAGTTCATGTTCAAATACCAATGGAGAATTAACAGTAGTTCTTATTCAATAATGGACATAGAGCAACAAATTTTAACAAGAATTGAGGCTTCGCTGTAACTCTGTAGGCTTTTGTGGATGGGATAAAATATGGCAATTTGCACACTGGAGCAATCTAGAAGGAAAAGCTTATGCTTCTGTTCTATTCCAGGTAACTACAGGTTTCTGTAAGTGCTCTTCTACATATTTATCTGTGTACAGCAGTTGTCCCCTCCCTGTACCTCCCTCACTCCTCCTTCCAACTTTTGCCAGCCAACTTAGGCTTAACCTCTGAAGAAATACAGAGTTAGAATTAGCACTCAGAACATTTATCTCACATGAAATTGTAGGGCTATGTGTTGGAATATTTATATGCAAGTCCACTGGTTTAAGCTTACCACTAGGTTATGAATGTGCTGTACTGTATCTTGATTTAGTAGCTGAACATCAAAGTTACGGAGGTCTCCACCAGCCATACGGAGTGTCTAAAAACATGAAGAGAAACAGTTTTAAAAACTACTCTGAACATTTATATTTGCACTGTCAGCTTCTCTGAAAACCAGGTGCTGTCCTGCTACATTACAAAACATTACTAACAGTTCTAACTGTTTAGCAACTCACATAGGGACAGTGAGAGTTATCTGTATTAGACAATTCACAGTTGAACTACTGTAAAGTATTTTAGAATTTTTTTTAAAAGGAAGAGTTTGATACCTGTCCATCAGCCAAAGGAATGTTTACAAATGGAACCATTTTATCCTGGGGTACTGATTTACTTCTCAGTATCATTCCTTGAACTCTTTCAGTGGTAGGTAAAGTTCTTGAGACGGCTTGTTGTAGTCCAGCACTAGAATACAAGTAAAATGTTACTATAACGTTAGCTTCCTCTATTCTACAGATTTTTTGTGCAAGAAGTTTCTGCACATGGTAGCAAGCATACCTAAGAAAAAGGCCATCTTGTTTACCCTTTTCAGTGCTGCCAGAAGACTGCAGGAAATCTACCAGTAGCATTTACTAGTACTACTAGGTAAAAATTTTTGACCGCGACACTTTTTATGCCTGTGTTACAGGCCTGTAAGCAGGCTGATGTTTGGACCTCTCAGTATCAGGAATATCCACTCCCCCATATGAACACTGACAGAACAGTTTTGTGAAGAGAAAATGCTGCCTTGAGGCTTAAGATAAGACTTGTGCTGTATCTGTTCACTTCAGAGGGAGATAAGACGACATTCCGAAGCTGCAACCTCTTGAAGGTACAGGGAATGCTGTATGTATAGAATTCCTTCACTTTTTTTTTTAAAAAGGCAGAACTGGGACATTTTCTATGTGTCAGTAAGCCTCTAACATTTGTAGTAAGCCAAGGTGAAACTAAGCAACATGTTGGTTTCATGACCCAATTAGTTATCAAAATCTTACACCCTTCCTCTTTTCCCTACCTTTAGGTATTTCAGCTGCTGACTTCTGCCAAAACTAAACTGTTGCTTATGGAAATAAATGAAAACTTAAACTGTTGAAAAAGGATACAACTATGATAATCAATTTTTAAAACATGAGCATATTGGTCACATTTTAATCAAACATATGCTCTGAGGACATACCTTAAACTGTAAACTATACCTTTAAACAACAGGACAAAGGAGTAGAATGTATACTCTATTAATGTTTGTTGAGATTTTTTAAAGGAAAGAAACAAACTGGCTTAGTTATGACACTGCATTCTGTACCTCCATGAAAACATAAGCTAACACCCATGCTCAAAGCAGGAGATGCAACTGGTTCATGTCCCCACTACCAAGTTCGGTGGCAGACCATGAAGACCTATTAAATCTAGACTGATATG